AAAAAAAAAAAAAAAAAAAAAAAAAAAAAAAAAAAAAAAAAAAAAAAAAAAAAATCATGTCACCTCTCTGAAGGGTAATTTGGCAAAGTCAACCAAAATTAAAATGCAAATAATCTTTTCCCAGCAATTGTACCTCAAAAGATTATATACAGATATAATTCCCCATGGGTGAACGGAGAGATGTTCAAGGATATTCATTGAGGCATTGTTTGTAAAGATAAAAGATTAGAAACAAATTAAATATAAATCAATAGAAGACAGGATAAAAAAAATTAAGGCACATTTTTACAATAGGGTACTATGTTGCCTCAAAAAGGAATGAGGCAGTTCTTTGTACTGAAATAGAATGATCTCTCAGACATAATATTTAGAGAAAAAAACAGGGTGAAGAACTGTGTATGGTATATACATACACAAAAAGATTTTAGAGAATTAGTATTTCCTTTTGCAGCAGCATGTAGATTTGCAGCAGGGCATGCAGAACTGGGGGTGAGGAATGACACCAGAAGAATTCAAAATCCTGGAAGGAGAGCAAGTTGATACCGAACCATTGCCATGGGAGCACTTCTCAGACTTGTCCCCAAAGCACTTCAAATATCTGAGGACAGTGATGTTTCCCAGGCAAATGGGCCAGAGGCAGAGAAGCCTTTCTGGAATTATCTTCTGCTTTCCGTCTCTGCTGCTAGTGCCGTTTGTAGGTCCTGGCTATTTCTGTCTCAGTGAATTACTATGAAATCTCCTGGCTGATATCTCTGCTTCTAGTACTGCCCTGTTTCATTCCACCCTCCAAAGTCCTCCTGAGTCAGCTTCTCATTGTGCATGAGATCCCACTACCGCCCTGCACGACTCCCAAGCCCACAGAATAAAATCCAAACGTGGTGTGTGGCCCGGGTGTTCTGCTGTGATCTAGATCTTGCCTGTGAGTTAGGATGAAGTGACTGATGATTCTGGATCCAGACTGACAGAGGTTTGAGTTCTGGTTCTATTTCTCTCTCTTCATTTCTCACTGTCTCCCTTTCCACACTCAGCTCTCCAGCCTGGCTTCATTGGGTAAAATCTCCCAATATGCTCTGCTCCTTTATGTCTCTATAGGCTTGCTTATGGTGACATAGCTGTCTGGGATAGCCTTCACTCGCTGATATGCATCTGCTCTCTTAAGACTTAGTTTAACCATCAATTCCCCCATGACCTGTTTGTCTCACCCACCATTTCTGCCCTCTCTATATTCCTTTCCTATGCGGCAACTTGCCAAAGCTGTTCTCGACGTTTCATAACTTTCTCCCTTTCACTCGAAAATTACACATTCTTAGAAAATGGCAAGATTTCAATAAAAGCTTCCAAAGCAGGCCAATTAGGGGCTGGAAGGTGAGAGGGTTATGGATAGGAAGCTGGGAAAAATGAACAAAAGGAAGGTAGAGGCAGCCCTTAGTTGGTGTGGGTCACTTACACTTCAGTCACTTAGAAGCTGGTATCTTTCTGCACCGCTCTTTTCATTCATCCTAAATCAAATGTCTACTTTAAGCATCACATGCCTCAGAATTACTTGGGCAAAGAAAGAACAATGTAGTTAACAGAGAAAAGGTTTATATAATAAAAGCACATTAAATTGATATGATTTACTCAAACCATCTCTTTGTTGAAAAGTGACTGCTATTCTGCTCTATTCTACTTCAACATATTCTATTTTTCTTTGCTAAAGAAGTTTCAAACGTGCTCCCCTAAAAAGCCATTTCTTCTGGTCCTTTGCCATTTGCTCAACTCAATTAAAATAACTGTGGGATGGGAAGGAATGCTTCCTCTATTATCATCTCTCTGGTTGGCTACTACTGCAATTTGAGATCACCAAATTGTCCCTGATGCTAAATATCAAACAGGCCCCAGTTGAGAAAGGGGCCCCTCTGTGTTTCAGGTAAGGACAGAAAGTCTTCCCAGGTGGGGCCAGTTACTAACACTTCAAATGAGATCAGGTATCTGGCAGTCTTCGGCTATTCATTTTATTAAATTCTTTCTTTTTTAAAAAAATTGTGAAATGGGCCGGCCCGGTGGCGCACTGGATAGTGCGCCGCTTGGGAAGCGCGGCGGCGCTCCCGTCCGAGGGTTCGGATCCCACGTGCAGACCGGTTCCCGCTCACTGGCTGAGCGAGGCGCGGGAGCGGCACCGAGGCTTGCGATCCCGTTGCCGGTCCCCGGTCCGGTACGGGGGCGACACTGAGGGTTGCGATCCGTTGCCGGACACGGAAAAAAGACAAAAGACAAAAAAAAAAAAAAAAATTGTGAAATAACACTCAGAATAGTACATAAAACTAAGTGTATGATATAATGACTAAAGCATGTAACTCCCACCTAGAAATTGCCATTAACCCCACAAACCCCATATATTTCTTCCCAATGGTGCCATTCTCTCCCCATTCTGGAGGAAGCCATCATTTTGACTAAAAATAAGTGAAAATGATGGTTACTGAGAATGCATCTCCAAGCAAAATCGTGTATTTTGATCCTTAAGTTATGAATTTATAAATCGATTCATACTGCATATATTTCTTTGTTTCCTTCTTCTTTCTCTTAACAATATGTTTGTGAGATTCATCCATGTGGTTTGCTAGCAGTCATTCATTTTCATCAATATTTGGCCAGCTATTTTTACTAGTGCAGTACAAGTGACTGCTATCACCTTCTTAGTCAGGAAAGACAAGCCAATAAATGTTGTGTATTCTTTCCTACCTTGTCTTCTTTTGATGTTTGAATTCAGGAATGCAATCAATTTGAAAACAGTCACCAAATCAAGAAATAACTAGGCCATAAGATACTCACTAACGACGTTGGCTTGACCGGTGAATATGGTGTACTGGAGCTCGTAGGAGACCACACTGAATTCATCATCGGAGGTCCAGTGGACGGTGATGGTGTCATATGAGGCTGTGCAGAGCTCTTCTCTAATTGTGGGAGGGTTGGGAGCTATGGGGTAGAGAATGCTCATCAGTGGAGAAGCAGACACCACTGGGATTCCATTTCAGAGGAGATGCCTGACAGTCAAAGCAGGTCTTTCAAAATAGGTCATTCAGGACTACTATCCTAGAGAAGGTGACCCCAATCCAAAGAACATTTGATTAACTGGTTATTGCCTTTATTTTTAACAAGGAATGTGGCTAGAGCCAGCCAGTATGAACTTATCTCTGTTTATCATGAAAATATGATTAGGAGGGTAAGCAAACAATACTCTCATGCATGAAGGAAAACATGTTAAACCAAAAGTAAACAAGACAAACTTTTGTAGTTCCATCTACTTTGGGGGGGTTGGCAAATGTTTTCAGTAAAGAACTAGATGGAAAATATTTTAGGTTTTGTGGGCCATACAGTCTTCTGTTGTGACTACTCAACTCTGCCGGTGTATCATAAAAGCAGCCATAGACAATTTTTACACAAATGGGCATGGCTGGCTTCCAATAAAACTTTATTTACAAAAATCAGTGGAGGGCTGGATTTGGCCTGTGACCCAAAGTTTGCAACCCTTGATCTTCATGGTGCCTGATATCTTTACATTTTAGGCACCTAACTGGAAAAACAGCAATATTTGCTCTCCCATAGCAAATCAGCCAAATAATTGTTTGAAACTTTTCTTTCATTAGATGCTTTGATGGCTTGTAAAAATAATCATTAGTGCAGCCCTATTTTCTTCTCATTTCTCAATTTATAGGTGATATTTCAAATTAAGAAGACCATGATTAACAATCAATCATACCTAAGAAGTATAGTTTCTTCCCCAAGGAAAACATGATTCCTTGGCATTGGGTTAACTTTAGCACTGGAGAAAACTGCTGCTTTATTTCTTTAACACATTCTGGAGCAAGGATGTTTAAATCCTACCAAAATGATGATTTTAATTTAATTTATTTTACTTATTTATTTATTTTGGCAGCTGGCAGATAAGGGGATCGAAACCCTTGACCTTGGTGTTACCAGCACCACAGTCTCCCAAATGCTCACCAGCCAATCCCCCAAATAATGATTTTAAAATAACTTCTACTAGATTGATTTCAGTGACTGGTTTTATGAGAAAAGCATGTGAGCAAGAAAAAGACTAGGCAATGAGTGTTTTGCATTGGCAATAATATTTTAGAGCAGGGGTTAGCAAACTATGATTGTGGGCCTAATCTGGCCCACTGCATATTTTTGTAAATAAAGTTTTATTGGAACACAGCCAGGCTCACACATTTACATACTGTCTATGGCTGCTTTTGCACAACAGCGAAGTTGAGTAGTTTGCAACCATATGGCTTGCAAAACCTAAAACATCTACCATCTGGCCCTTTACAGTCAAAACTGGCTGACCCCTGGGTTACAGAATAGATCCAGAGCCTTTATTTCCATTCTTCTAAACATCAGAACCAAACTTCAAAAGGAGAAACATATCTGCACTCTACAGATTAGGAGCAATCTTTGCTTACATTATCACAGAGTTATTTCCTGCTCTAGATTTTGATTAGGATTAATGAGTGCTAAACAAACCCAAAGAGGGAGAAAAGTTTATGAAAATGGTAAATTTAAAACTCTGGCTTAGTAGTCTTTACTTTGCCACCTGAAAATATATTCAGGACAAGTATAAGAAACAAGTCTGGTGTATTAAGTCAATTAGCTTAGCTTTGTATATTGGTTATTGAATTCCACAAACACTGTTGAACACCAACAATGTGGCAGGCACTGCATTAAATTGTGCTTTTATGTAGAAAGGCTCTACATAACCCTTAAAGCATTCTTTCTGGAATATGTATTTGTATATCTGTCTCCGGAAGTATCCACATATGAGATTTATTGTTGTGTGGTGTGACTTGGATGTGCATGAATCGGTGACACCTATCAGGAGATGCACTCCATGGATGATACCCAGCTGCACTGTAAAACATGCTTATTACTGTCTGCGTGGTCCCTGTTGGTATGGGATCATCCCTGCATGGATCAGTGGAGAAATACTTATTCTCCCATGGTTTAAATAGGTCATTGAATTATTTCTCCCATCAACTATTATAGAAAGATTTTGTTCTTTCCGAGTAAAATATATGATTAAATATAAAGAAATTGTATGTTCAAAATAGGCAAGTCATTGTGAGACACATGGCAGTAGCTGTAATAAGGAAGGAAATGTCACCTCTATGGGTTATTAACTTGACATACCACTTAGAGGTATGTCATAGGGAAAAAAAAATCTTGTTTTTACAGCCACGCAGGTTAACCCTGTTTTGACTGTAAACCCAATGGGTTTGTCCTGACAAATCAATACCTAATTTACTGTAAATGAGAACAGCAGCATGCTGCCAATTTCAATATTCACAGAATCAGTACCAGAATTGTTATTTTCTAGCATCTGTCACAAATAACACACAAGGAATGGTGGGCTAATACTCTACAAACACTTCATTTCCTGCTTACAAATGTCTGATAAACTATTTGGACTTGGCAGTATCAGCCAAGCATCGTATGTTATGGCCACGATCGGTGTTATGTCTAGAAATAGACTGAGTTTGTTTTGGGGTTGACAGCTCAAAAGGCATAATAGCAGGTACCCCATATGGCCTTTAGTTTGGCATAAACAGCCATCGGGATGATATATGGTGTACATGTTACAATTCAGTACAAACCGCTTTCACCATTTCCCCTTTAATCAATACTTTCACATTCCCATAGCGGTTAAAATGGGTTAAAATACATTATTGAAGTACTGTTAAACAATTACCGGGAAATGGGGAGGACACAGTCTCGTCAATAAGACACTGATTTTGGGTAGAATGACCATGCGGCCAGGCAAATATTTAATTTTCCAGCCTTCTCTGCTGTTGGGTATAACCTTGTGACATGAATCTGGCCCATGAGACATAAGTAAAAGTTTGCTAGGTGGGTCTTCTGAGCAAGTTTTTGTTTTTCTCGTAAACAAAGACAAACTTGGCTGGCGGAGCTTTTTGTCCATCTTTCTGCTTCCGCCCCTCTCTTTTTGCCTAGAACTTGAGCATAATGCTTGTTGGTGGAGTAGTCATGTTGTGATCATGTGGCAAAATGGCAACGCAATGAAGATGGCAGAGCAGGAAAAGAGAAAGAGTCTGGGGTCTGAGGTCATTATCAAACTTCTGCCCAGCTCTGGACTGCATGCCTTTGTTCTGTTTCTATGATACAAATACTCCTTGATGGGTTCAGTCACTGCTACTTGGGTTTTCCGTTGCTTGCAACCAAACTTATTTCCAAATGACATAAGAAAAAAGGAGATTTTTAACAGGATGCCACCATGAGAAACAGCTCAGCTGGAGAAAGTCTAGAACTGCACTGTCCAATACAGTAGCCACAAGCTACATGTGGTTGTTTAAATTTCAATTAAATTTAATTAAGCTAAATAAAAGTAAAAATTCACTAGCTGCTTTTAAAGTTTTCAATAGCCCCATGTGGCTAGTGGCTAACATATTGGATAGTGCAGATATAGAATGTTTCTATCATTGGAGAAAGTTGTATTGGATAATGTTAGTTTAAATCAATCTCAGAGTTAAAAGCTTAAAGAAGACTATATTCATGAATATTTGAAATCAAGTTTGGTTTCTTACTGTAAATGCTTTTTGAGTTGATTTCTTTCTTCCTAAATAGAAATGGTATGTTTGAAAGAGAGAATTACATGAAATAAGAAGTCTGTGGGATCACTCATCCTCCTTGAAATGCAGAAAGGCTAAAAATAGCTCCGCAGGTCCTTGCAAAGAAAAAACCCTGATCTTCTGGGTATAATGCACCTTGATTATAGAACTCCATGCTTTCTATTCACAGACTGTAAAAACAAATATCACACAATGTTCCCTCTCTCCTGTTCCACCTTCCCCAACCACCCTCCCATAAACATGCACACACGGCATTGGCTTTTATAAGCTAACACCATGTTAAGTGAGGGATGTGGTTTCTTGAAGGCTGCATGTCCTAAGTGCATACCACATCTGGCTTCACTGTGTACACTGTGCTTTCCTGAAGTCACAGACACCAGTGGCCTTGGCTAACACAAATAAGGTTGTCTAAACTTTCTAACAGTGAAAGTTTGCAGTTCTTGCTTTAGAGGTTGATAGCAAGGAAAAGTTTAGAAGCACAGTTAGGAATATGAGTAGACTGAGGTTTTTTGCTGTTATTGTTTTTGTTTTTTAAGCTTCACCAAAAAAAAAAAAAATTGCCAACTAAAATGCACAAGATTGAACCACAGCACCAGGAATTTCAATGTAATTTTTGCAATGTTTGCCATGGTGACATTTGCCAAGATGAAAGTCAGTCTTTTACCAGAAAAAGCAGAGGCCTTTAGAGTCTGTACAGATTTGAGCCAAATCCTAATTCTTCCAATCCTTAGCTATCTGACTTCCAGCAAGATGGCTGACCTCCGTCATTTGCAAAATAAAGATTATAATACTTCACCTGAATTTGATGTTGTGAAGATTAAAACAAGATTACAAACACAAAGAGCTGGAGTAGGGTGGACAGCCAATGAATTAGCTGCCAATTTTTTCTCTGCTACTGTACTGTGAGTCAGATGCCTTACTAACATGACATGAACACACACAACCTTATGTATCTCTTTGATGGTCAACAGAACTATTATTTTTAGCACCCACAAGTTGAGAGTGAATGTCTTTATCTGCTTAGTGTTGTTATAGCAGAATACCTGAGGCTGGGTAATTTATAAAGAAAAGAAGTTTATTTGGTTCATGATTCTGCTGGCTGGAAAGTCCAAGAATATGGTGCCAGCATATGCTTGGCTTCTGGTGAGGGCCACGGGCTGTGTCACAACATGGCAGAGAAGCGTAAAGGCAAGCGGGCATGTGCAAAACATGAGAGGCAACCTCACGTTATAACAAGCCACTCTTGCAGGAACTAATTCATTCCCTCGAGAACTAACCCAGTGTCATGAGAAATCCATCTTAACAACACCGCTACATTGGCAATTAAATTTCAGCATGAGTTTTGGTGGGAACAAACCACATCCAAACCATTGCAGTGAGGTATGCTTTTAATGATTGAGATTCTCTTTTTTCCCCTGTCCCCAATTTAGTCTTGGGAATAAATAATTGATCTGGTGGCAAAATGTTTGTATCACTAATGTACACAATATTAAAGACAACATAAAAGACAATACCTGTAAGGTAATCCAGACATTCTAGCAATTTTTTCTCTCGGGAAAAATCTAAGGCAAAGGTGTCAAATGTATCATTGAGGTTGATTTCAGGAATTAGGACCTGGGAGGATGCAGTTGCCATGGAGACTCTGTAATTTAAACAAAACAACTTTTTAGAAATGTCAAGCTAGCTTACATCATCACCATGTAGGAATAAAAAAAATAAAAGAAAAAGAAATATCATTTTTTAAAAAGTGCCATTTTTATATGTGAGCCCTAAGAATAATCTTGGAATGGCACAAAACAGTAACACGAATCAAATGAATGCAACCTAAAGAAAAAGCAAGGGATTGGGGAAAACAACAGAATGGCTTTCCCTTTCCTTTTTACTATCGGAAAAAAATGCCCTGTGGAGGCAAAAGCATATTCATATTTCATGTTGTTGTATATTTAACAGCCTGGCCCCATCACATCTAACCCCAGCAAGAAAAGAAGCACATAGCTCCAGGCATTTCTTCACACATCTGTCTGGAAAACTGTTTGTTCCTTTCAAACTCGACCCTGCTCCACTTCAAAGGGGAGTCTCCAAAATTTTGAACTGCATAAAAGGCAAAGTGAAGATTAAAAGAGAATGTTTCCAGATATTGGATTAGTTTAATCAATTACTAGCCTCTCTCTAAAATAAACATTAAAAAAAGGGGTTTTGTCTGGCTCGTTTTCACTCTTCTTGTATTCATTTTCTTACACCATATTCCCAGCAGATGCCATGGAAAATATTCATGAGCTTTCTCACAAATTTCCCCAGTGGATGTACTGTTTCTCCTCTTCACTTAGGTTTCCTGGTTAGAGTTCTCATGTGTAAATGAGAAAGCAAGGTATTGGTACGTGTCAATCTCCTTCTACGTACTCTCAAGTTGATTGGGAAAGTTCAGTTATTAATAGCAAGCATTTTGACTGATTCAAAAATGCAAGTGATTCTCTTAAAAACAAGAAAATTGTGGCATGAAGTATACCACTTCTGAGCATATCAAATGATGCTGGACTCAGAATCTTATTGAGTTTGGTATTTTGTTAAGTTTTGTAAACAACACTCCTAGGAACTATGATATGCTGGATATTGTGCAGAGCGCTGGGAATTTTTGACCAAAGAAATAACTTTGAAATGATTTAGCTCTAGATCTAGCTACTTATTTTCTAATTAAGAACACTGATACTCATTTATACAAGGCCACAAAAGCTTGCTGGCAGTAGCCAGGAGAATAATTTCAGATCTACACTCCTCCATTTAATTTAGAAAAAGTTCAGCATGGTTACCCCAAGGGGTATGTTTTCTCTTGTGTCTATTAATGACTCTTAAAGCTTTGGATTTTACAAATAATATATCTTGAGGGCCAGCCCGTGGCTCTCTTGGGAGAGCATGGTGCTGATAACACCAAGTCAAGGGTTAAGATCCCCTTACCAGTCATCTTAAAAAAAAAAAAAAAAAATATATATATATATATATATATATATATCTTGGCTATAAAAATATAAAAATATCTTGGCTATAAAAAGTATTCTTTTGGGTCTATTCAAACAATGGAATGTTATTCAGCCATAAAAAGGAATGAAGTACTGACACAGGCTACAAACAGGATGAACCTTGAAAACATCACGTTAAGTGAAAGAGCTAGACACAAAAGGCCACACATTGTACGATTCCATTTGTAGGAAATGCCCAGAATAAGCAAATCCACAGATACATAGAAAGTGGATTGGTGGTTGCCAGGGGGAGAGGAGACGGGGAGGGTTTGCTTAATGGGTATGGGGTTTACTTTGGGGGTGATGAGAATGTTTTAGAACTTGATATAGGTCATGGCTGCACAACATTGTGAATGTTCTAGATGCCACTCAATTGTACACATTAAAATGGTTAATTTTATGTTATGTGAATTTCACCTCAATCTAGAAGAATATACCTGTGAAATGCTCAAAATTCTTAGAAATAGTTTCTATAGCTGTATTTCTGGCGATTTTCAGTATTGTATAGTGAGGAAAGGAGAGAGGTAAATCCACAGTGTCATAATTGGAATGACATTGGGATCCATGGGTGAAAGTCCGAAGAGGCACAAACTCTGGAAAGCAAAGTTTCAAGTGTTTGAATGAGGAAAACCTCACCTCCTGACCCTTTCACCAAGAAGCAGTGAATAGTGGAGTTGTGTGATTTTGTTGACTAAATATTGTGCCCAAGGGAATTGGACTAATTACTGTTACCAGTGGCTGTTAATTTAGACTGATGGATACTCGGACGGTTGCTAAACATTTTTCACAGATGGTCAAGCTGTACTTAAAACACGCTTTACTTAAGAACCATGAACATAAAAAGTCCTCAGAACTCACAGAGGTCCTAGGATTACTATCAACAAATGTTCAACAAATATTTATGAAGTCCTTAAAGTATGCTACAGGCCAAGGAGCCCATCACTGCAGAAAAGTTAAAAGAAATGCTATGGTGCCATTTGAACTTCTCAAAAAATATGTCAAAGCGAAACCTCAGTTAATTCTTTTTCACAGTGTCCAACAGGAAGAATTGCACCGAGCTACTGTCAAACAAGCATCGAAATTTGCATTTCTCTGGCTTTAGCAGTTCCCATGCCCAGTGGCAGAAGCCTCTTTGTTCAGACTCACCCAAAATAGATTTTTGTTCCAAAATTTCTCCTGGTTCTATGGTCCAAAAACAATTTAGTAAAACATGCTTTAATCAAGGGACACTGTTACAAATGCCTGCCATCTTGATGGTAGAAACTTTGTGGATGAGAACCAAAAGGATGAAAGTTCCTAGCCTGGGAGGCAAAGGCTGACAGCAAGAATCTTTGGGGATTACAGCAGCTTTTAACACCTACACATTTTTTTTTCTTTTTCTGATGGAAGGAAAGATACTTATCTATGTCTACATTTCAAATTCATAACTGGAGTGACAGGCAAGAGGAACTCTGCCAAATGCAACATTTTAGGCCATGTTTTAATTTCCCAAATGCTTTGTTGCTCATCTTCTAGCCTTTTAGATAAGTTGCCAAAATCTACCAGGACTGTTAGTGCTATGCCACTTTCTCAGTTCCTTGCTTTATAGCCACGTCTATGTGTGGATGTGTGTGCGTGCATGTGGATGTGTGTATTAAGCACTTAACATACTGCAGCAAATAAGGGCATTGTGTCCCATCTTGATGTGTAAAAGGGTGGGGTGCACATTACTCCCTAATTCTATTTCTGCTTTGATGCCCCTAGTCTCTGTGACACTCAGTTGCTAGCAGCCACATGGGGCCAGTTTTCTGAAAAGTGGACATGTCCAGAGCTAGGCTGCTCAGCAGGCTTCTGCCAAACAATGCACATCACCATGGTGTAACCCGGTGAGGTCTCACAGTAATAAAATGTGTTTCACTATGGTCAGCTCAGGATTTTCCAAACACATTTGGCCCTAGAACCTTATTGTTGTCTTAACACTTATTAATACCCTGCAGAACACACTTCAAAAACCACTCATCAGGTGTGCTCTAATTCTTAGAACCAAGCAACATATTTCCAGAATTGACAACTGGAGTTCTTGGTTTTACGTTCTGGAAAAGCCTGGTGGATCCTGAAACTGCCTGTGGTGGTGAAGAACAGAGAGATCACCTTGGAGTCTGAGAACCTCCTGGGTGCTCTGGAAAATGGGTACTGTTCAGAGGGAATTTTCTTTTTGCCATCATCTTGATACAGATAATTTGCTACTAAAGGTGATTTTAAATTTAGATTCTTCATAAGCAGTGGACCGATTTTCTTATGCCCGGATTCAGGGACTAGTTTTGCTTACTTAGCGTAATGTTAGAAAGGTGCGTACGCAATCACACAAGGCCATCTGCTAGTGCAGCTTGAGAATACAGTATGTCATACACTGCATTTGCGTTTGTCTAGTGAGCGGAAAGGAAGGGAACTGCACGTGTTGCACATTCGCCTTGTGACAAGCTGGGCTAATGTTTCCACTACGTTATTTCATTTTATCTCTACAACAATCACATTAGGTAGGAATAATCAGCCTTGTTTTATAGATTCATTCATTCATTCACTCGTTCATTCATGTCAGGCAGTTTGCAATGTGCTGGGGCTATAATGGGGGAAAATGAGATGGTTAGGGTTCCTGCCCACTTAGAGCATAGGAGCAAAATTAGACTCCGAAGTGCTAAAGAGCAGCCCCAATGCTATCCATGATTACTAAGCAATTAGCACAGAGCCAAATGGTTGATTCCAAAGTATATGCATCTCCTACAACATAAAGCTTGAGATTCTCTCTTTTTAGCTTTTGTTTTTGGTGTTTCTGAATTGAAAAAAAAATTTGTAGTATTGATTCAGCTTATAGGAGAACACGTCCACTTTAACTGATTTAAAAATGCAGAAAAATCCCATCTACGCCTCACTTTACAAATGCCTGCAGGATTAAAAGTTTGTTCTGGGTTTCACACTTGAACAGAAGGATAAAGATGGTTTCGAAGTATATAGGAGCCAAAGCCCACGGCAGACACAATAAGAGACAGAATGAGGAAGTCGTGTCCTAGAAAAAAGTGTTAAGCGACAGGCTGAAGAACAGAGGCAGGTAGACAGAGAGCAGCAATGAAACAAAGACATACAAGAAGGGGTCGATTTACATACTGAAATATGAAAACAGAGATCCAACTAACACTTAATGGAGTATCTATGATACTTAAGACCTGTTCTTAGGAGTTTCCAGCAATGTTATCACAGTAGCAATATCTATTACAAGCCTGATTTTCTAAGTGGAAAATAGCTCAAAGAACCGCAGTTAAAAAGCGGCAGCACTGAGATTTGAATCCAGGCTTCCAACTCTTAGTGCAAGCCCAGTGCTCTTTTACTACATGCTGGCTGTTGGAAAGAGAAAGGCTCAGGAATTAACCAAGAGGATTGACAAATAGAGATGGGAGAAGGAGGGATTGTAGAAACAGACAGATAGGGGCTCCCAGCCAATTTTTACAGCCACTGTGTATTCCATCTTGACAGAAGCACATTCTTTGTAGAAAGAAGAATCAGTCATTTTCCCATTCTTGATGAGATGGGCTTGTTATAGGGAGAGCCGAATGGGACCAGATATGCCCCGCTGGATCTGAGCGTGCTCATATGTGGGCATTCACATGTTGGTGCTATAATTCAAATGCAGGTCTTCTTTCTGCATAACTGTTTATGGGGCCACATTCTCTCTCAGGTCACTAGGTGAGATTTTGTTCATGTGACACTTGGTCAAATTTGTAGGGATTGCTGAGGAATACAGCTCATAGGAGCCACTTCATCTGGACATCTCATAATTGACAAGTGAGGAAAAGTACTCTGGGATCCCAGTTGCAAACTATGACCTAAGTGTAAACACTATCTGTTAGTGTCCTTAGCACACTGGAGTATTAGTGCTGCTTGCAGTTTTTAACTTTAGGATGAATGTTGAATGATTTACGGTCTAGGTGAGAGCAGCAGAAACACTTGGAAGCTAGGAGTCATGAGGAAAGAAACAGGTCTCTCTTCAAGTAGAGAGGAGACCATTTTAAGGATCTAAAAGGGGTGATAGTCAGCTGTTATCCATGTCTTTTAGAAGAGATAAGTATCAGCTGCAAAAGGAATTTTTCTTAAATATAAGAAATAACAGTCAAGCTGGTTGGATAGTAGACCAGAGTTGTAAAAATACTATACACTACTTTGAAAGAACAGTGAAAAGAGAAGTATCAATGCCTACCTCTATGCAATATTTTGAGAATTAGCAATGTCTGATATGGGTAAGCTCTCAATAAATGTTAGTTTCCGTTCCCCTTTCTTGAAGAAATTCAAATCATAAGATGACAAGTATTTTTTTCCCCTAGGCCAGGGGTTGGTAAGGTATAGCCAACAGCCTGCTTTTGTAAGTAGTTTTGTAGGAACACAGCCACGCTCATTCACTTCTGTATTATCTATGGCTGCTGTGAGCTACAAAGGCAAGTGTTGAATAGTTGTGACCGAGATCTTATAACTTGCAAAGCAGAAAATACTTATTCTCTCGTCTTTTACAGAAAAACCTTGCCCACCTCTGTTCTAGGGTAAAGAACAGCATGAATGGGCTCTCTGGGGTCTTCTAGTGACAGGATTCTGCCCAAAAAGGGCAGTTGACTGAAAATTAGAATGAATGAAAAGTCAAGGCCATTGGCAATGGCTGGAGATGTCATTTACGTGGATTGCTTGTATCCAGCCCAGCCTAATGCTTCCCTTGGGATCTGCTAGAATTGCTATAGGTGTTTGCATCAGTGAAGATGAGTGATTTTTATGCCAATCAAATATGTGTACTGAAGGAATACTCATCCTTGCCAATTTGGCTGCTGAGCTAACCATTCAGATAACATCAGCGTTACGTTCCCTACCCTAGAATAGAGGGCATTTTAAAAGAAGGCAATATGAGGTTGACAGTGTGGTCCTTTCTCTCCCGCATGAGTGAGCCTTGACCTTTCAGGCAAGGCCAAGCTTCTCAACCGAATAAAAATGGGCCTTACAGAGAACAACACCTGTGCGATTTTTTTTTTTTTTTAAAAATAGCGCTGCAATGGAAGAAAAGATTCCCTTTTGTGTTTCTGCCTCCATTTCAATCCTTTGTTATCAAGTGTACGATAAGATCAGGTCTGAGAGTCACAATAAATGCCGTTTTTATGCCATCATAAGCTTCACCCCCCTCCCCCCAACCCCCACACAGGTGGATTTTATTCTTTCTAACTGGTGGACTCTTGTTTCAAAGGCTGTTAAGGAAAGGGCTTTGACATGACAAAGGGAAGCATCTTTAGCTGCAACAAAACAGCTAAAAGCCTCTGTTCTCTCTGGTACCCCAGCCTTGAAAATGAAAACAAAAGCAAGGCGAGGGCAAGGCCGACCAATCACACCCCAGATGCAAGAGCCCGGCAGCCGAGAACTTCGCGGCAGCCCCTGCACTCACCTCTCGGTTATATTCTTAGCAGTCTGGAGGAAACGGGCGTGATCGTTCTCCTTCAGGGAGTGTTCCGCTTGGGAGATGAGTGACGCCGACCGCTCAATGCACTGTTTGCAGTTTGCAATCTGCTGAGCCAGCTTGCGAAGCCTCATCACCTTGAACAAAAGAGGCATGGGGATGGTTACACGGGTGGGCTCGCTTAGCGAAAAGGCATCAGGCTGGACCCTTCCGATACGTGCATTTTGTTCTAGGTAAGTCGTCCTTCCATAAAAGCTCAAAAAGTCGGCATACAGAGATGGTGACATGCAGAAAGCCCAGTAATGGGACTCTTGTCTTACATATTCTTTATCTCCTTGGAGAAGTGTTGCTAATTCGTTTTATGAGGAAACACTGAATTGTGAATTGCTTCCCTGTTGATGGGGAAAAAAGGTGTTGCCCAGTGGCAAGTTACAAAAGGTGACCAGACCTCTTCCCTTGACTATCCCACACAATGACTGCAGGACTGTCGGAAACCCCGGAACTTTCTTTATCTCAGGTTTCCAGCTGTGCCATGAAAAAAATAAAACATCTCTACAGGTGCAAATTTGTGGCTTAAGAAAAACCATTTCCTAAAAAGTTCTTTGCAATCCATGTAATAAAATTGTGATATAAAAGCATTAGGTATTACCATTTCCCACACTACCTAAAACTCATGTGTTAAATTAACAGAAAGGGAGCATTTTTCCAATTGATTAATATTTTTCCTGTTGAGCACATGAGAGAAAGCCAAAAAAAGCACAGCTGGGCCATTTCCCCTCACTGGGAACGTCATTTCCAGGCACTTTGTGCTTACTTGATAACTAAGAACTATTTTGATAAGCATTTCCCTGTTGGGATAAAAATGCATGTTTGCTTCACCACTTCCATTCCAATTCCTGATTCTGACTTGCTTGAAAATGACCCTCGAATGTAATTGACCATAACCTCTGGGCAGGCCAAGATAAGTTCAAGGTGACCCACTTCACTATTTGCTCTGGTGTTCGAAATCTGCTACGAGATGAAGCCCCCTGGCCAGAACCCAAGTTAAAATTAGATCGCTAATTGGAATTGCCTTGTGCCTAATGCCCCCATCCACACACCAGGGGACAGGTTTTGGCCAGCTTTATGATAATTCCGGAGTGGAAAATAGCCCTGGGTGAAAGGGTAGGGAAGAGTCTGGTTAATCTGTCTTACAGACAGGGCTGGCTCAGGCTCCTTCCAGAATTCCTGCTAACTCCAAGAAATTCTTTCTTTCTCCAAGTCATCATGATCATCTGTGTATAACTCTAATCGAAGAAAAGGAAGGAAGGAGATGTCAGAACTAGAGGCCTCTAAGGAACGTCCAATTCCAAGTATGTACTACAGCAAACAAAGGAAATTAATGCTGGATTGAAAGGCAGCAGGCACAGGATTTCAGGCGAGGGTGGGAAAAATTCCTGAACGTAAAGAGTCAGAGAACAAAGTGTCAAAACTTTGGGGCAAATGGTATGTGATCTTGAGCCTGGTAAAAGACTTAACTCATTATAGTTATAGGTACTGTCTCCTGCAGATGAACTGTGTTTATTAGTCGAATAAAATAACACTTATTTTACACCAAATAGAATTAGCTTCTGGCATCATTATATCCAGAGACAAAGCTAAGGAAGGCATCCAGTCCAATTCAGTATATTAGAACATGCCCATGAAAAATTGTCAGAGGAAGAAAAAATTCCAGAAGGAAAAATAACTCATAGTCCCTAGAACAAACCAAGTAAATGAAATATTTAATCACACGACATAAGGAATAGTTTAAATTACATGGCAGAATTGAAGATGTGTAATACAATTCTAACAAAAGAAAATAAAGTCAAAATATTCCTTTAGAATAACTTCACGTAAGTCACTTATCCTTTGGATATGCCTATTAGAGACCACACGGATTACAAACGTGATGATGCTTGAACGTCAGTTTCTTTTTCTTCTTTCAATCATGATACTGAAAATTAAAAGTGACATAAGTGGAAAAGAAAAAAAAAAGTCCTAAACCATGCATAAATTGAAGTAAGACAAAATGAGAGCCTCCTGTGAAAATACCACACTATTTTACAGAGAACAATTTTGGCCATAATTTTAATTATAGGTCAGAGCACAATTTTATCTGCTACACCGGATAAGAGCTTTTCAAACCTGGTGTGCAAAAGAATCAGCTGAGGGTCTTTTTTAAAAAAAAACTGTAGATGTTTGGGCCTGTTCTCTAATATTCCAGTTAAGCAGTTGTAATTGGCAGAACAGCAAGAATTTGCATTTTAACAAGCAATGAATGTTTTTTAAATCTGCGAGTGATGAGTCATTAGGATGGTCAGCACTAGCATTTAAAAAACCAAATACAAGAAGAGAGGAAAAAAGAAAACAGCAGTGAACTCCTGGTAGAAAGGTCAAGTTGGGTTTTGTAAACTGTTTTCTCGTGAGTATGTGTGCGTGCCTGTGCTGGATTGTGATGCCATATGTACACTGTAGATTACAGTTAAAAAAAGAAAGAAAGAAAGAAAAGAAAAACACTGCCCTAAGTTAGGTGTTCATAAACTGTGGTCTGTGGGCCAAATCCAGAATACAGCCTGATTGTATAAATAAAGTTTTATTGGCACCCTGCCACACTGATTTGTTTCTGAATCTATGGCTGCTTTCATGCTACAATGTTGGGCAGAAACGAGTTGTTGCAACAGGTACTGCATGGCAAAACCTAAAATATTTATTATCTGGCCCTTTACAGAAAAAGTCTGCTGGCCCCTGGTTTAAATGATTCTGGTCAGATGGCCCTAATTGGAAGGAACCACACTCTGAAACTCCATCCTACAAGTTAAAGCGCTTCAAACTTAGACACTGAGCATGAAGCAAAATACTTAGTTTTTCATTAGACAATACTGTTTTATATATTATTTTAAAACTCCAATAAGATGAATACAATTTGATGTTTTAAAAGAAATACTGGATACTGACACATAAGAAGATTCTATATATGTATGTCCTAATGCTGCAGGGGAAATTTTTTCCAGTCGACTGTTCATTTTTCCTTTGGGAAGTGAGATTGCCACATTGTAACTTTTGGAATTCACTCTATACTCATCATGGAAACATTTTGTCTGTTAAAATCTCCTTTTAGTGTGGACACAGGCCTATTTATAGCATTTTATTTGCTGTTTATTATACCTCACACACTCTTTTAAAAGCAGCCGTATTTTGCTTTAAATGCATTGTATACACTTGTATATAAATGATGTTATATGAATGTAGGATACACACCCCAAAACTGCTATGTCCAAACAATGAATCCTCAACACAGGTATCTGAATTGACAGTAAGGCCTATATACTCAGCATCTCTTTAAGGCCATGTAAAGCCTGAACATTTAGTCCAAGTTAATTCTCTTAAATTTTAAAGATTTAGCCTACATAAAAGGCACTGAAGAAAAAGGACCCTTTTTCTGTTTATCTGTGGCCTTCAGTAGTCTACCATTTTCTGTATCTGAATGTTAATCTGGAGTTTACTGCCAGCTTTTTGTGTGTTGACATGAAACTTATCCACTTATCCTTATTACTGAAAAAGTAAGAAAATTCTTTCCCGGGGAGTCTCTTGGCTTGAGACTCTCCAGTCTGTCTAACTATAAAGGCTGTGAAGCTATTTGTTTCAGAGAATGCACAATGGTCTGGGAGCAGGAATCAGCGGTAGGTACAAATGTGTAACCACACCACCTGCTTGGCAGCCCCCCATTTGGACAATGTGTGGTGAGTTTGATGACACCAGGTTTAACAGCCTTGTGACTGGCACCAGAGACAGACAGAGGCAAAGTAAGGAGGTTGATGAAATTCACCTTTGTGGTCTCCCCATTTCTGTCTGGTTCTTCCTCCACCTCCCCAGTTCTAAGTACTTGTCAGAGAGCTTCAGCATCCCCCACCCCTTTTTTTTTGCCTCCCTCTTGGTAGGGACTCCCTAAAGAGTCCTGTGACAATTCAGGGTATCACGTGGTGAGAACGGCCAGAGCCCCCTGTCTTGACCTAGTGCTCTCAGACTGCCTTGCTGCCCCCCTGGGCCACAGGGACCGAAGCCTTGCAGTGAGCCCCAAGGCCACATTTGCCCTTCCTGCCAGGCACTTCAGATTTCCAGGGTGATGGCACTCAGGTCCTTTCTTGTAGAAACATACCTCTGATGCAGTATGCCCTGGCCAGGGACTCAGGTCACTGTGAATTCCAGGGTTTGGAATCAACTAATCCTTGGTCATGTGCCATAGTACTAACTCAAGAGAAAGCTGAACTGGGCCCTCAGCTTTCCCAAATAACATCTGCTTTCTCGTATTTCCTTCTGAAATAATGTCCCTGAACAAATACACACTTCTTAAAAAGTGAAAAATTTCAAACATAGAAAATTTAAAAAGTAATAGAATGAACCACCCTGTACATAGCAGCTCTACCAAATCTCAATATTTTCAATCATATAAGCTTCAGATTTTTCAAAAGGAAGTAAAATGTTGTTGATAGCTTTAAAGCCCCCGTGTGGCCCTCTCTAATCTCATTCAGGTCTCTCCACAGAGGAAAAGACCTTCTTGAATTTAGAGCTCATTACTCCCATGCGTGTTTATGTACACATGCCCAAACAATGCATGAGATTTTTTGGTAGTTTATCGAATTTCATATAACTCTTCTCATGCCATACAAATCATCATAAAGCTTGCTTGTGTTTTTCTGATTTTTCCATGTTAATACATATCACCCAAGTTCATTAATTTTAATTTCTGAACTGTTTCATTACATAATATATAATTTATATGTCCTATATAAATAACTTGATTGAGATATAATTGATATATAATAAATAGCATATATTTAAAGTGCAAATGTGATAATTTTTCCAATACATAGACACTCATGAAACAGTCACCATAGTCAAGATAATAAACATACATATTATGTGCCAAATTTCCCTCCTGTCACTTCGTAATTTACCCAGCCCATCCCTCCCTGTCACCCCGTACCTAAACAACCATTGATTTGCTTTTTGTCACTGGAGATTGGTAGATAGTGCTGTTTCTAGAACTTCATATGAATGTACTCATACAGTGTATACTACTTTCTGTCTTCTTTCAGTCGCCATAGTTATACTGAGATTTATCCATGTTGTTGCATGCATAAAAGAGTTCATTTCTTTTTATTGCCAAATAGTATTCCATTGCATGGTTCTGCCACAAATTGGTTACCCATTCATCAGTTGAAGACACTTGGGTCATTTCCAGTTTGGGGCTATTACAAGTAAAGTTAACATGAAAATTTACCTGCAGGGCTAGTACGGACATATGTTTTCATGTCTCTTGGTAAATCCTGGGAATGGCTGGATCGTATTGTAAGTGTACTCGTATGCTTATTTAGGAAACTGCTAAACAGCTTTCCAAAATGAGATTATCAGTTCCTTGAACTTCTGTTAAAATAAGCAATAGAACTGTTGGGGTCTGGTGCCATTTTGGGGGGGTGGGCAGAATGTGAATTGAAGGAGATTTCATTTAATAATTAAATATCCTTTGCTTTTTAATTTTTGTTTATTTAGGTTTTCTACTATTCTTTACCTAAGTTTTAAAATTATTGGCATAAAAACATTCATATAACTTTCTTATGTTTTTTAAAAATCTGTATCATATTAATGCTGTGTTTGCTTATGGGGCCCCACATTCTGTTCTTCCTCCATCAGCCTTACTACAGACTTCTGCTTTAAATTATTCTTTATAAGTATGAATCTTCTTGATCAGGGATTGATGAGCTTTTACTGTTAAGGGCCAAATCGTCAACATTTTAGGCTTTGAAGACCATATACTGTCAGTCATATATACATCTTTGTTTTTTCTTTATAAACAACCTTTTAAAAATGGGAGGAAAAACATTTTTACCAAAAAATGAACCAAAATAACCCACTTTTACTCACAGGCATTCCAAAATTAGGCTGTAAGCTGTTTTTTGCTGACACCTGCTTGTTTGCTTCCTGTTTTTCTTTCAGTTACTTCTCCTTTGTTTATCATTTTCTTTCCTCGGCTTTCATTGGTTTATTCTGTTGTGCTTTTTCTAACTTTATTTGACAGCTAATTTCTTGCTTTTAATATTTTTTCTTTTCCTTTTTTAAAGAATTGAAAGCTACAAATTGGCCTTCAAATACTTTTTGGCTGCTTATTACTTATGATATATAGGTCTTTCATTGTGTTTCATTTCTAAATTTTTTAAATATATTATCATGACAACATATTTATAAGAGTAAATTTTAAAGTTTCTAAACATTGTAAAAACTATTATTTTATTGTTGATAATATGTAATTAGATACATTGTGTGTTCACAGAGGAGGGGTTGTATGGTTGCTGTGGTTTGAATGTTTGCCCTCTCCAAAGCTCGCGTTGATACTTAATCCCCATTGCAACAGTATCAAGAGGGTGGGAAATCGGACTATGGTATTTGAAAGGTGGGGCCTTTAAGAGGTGATTAGCTATGCCCTCATGAATGGATTAATCCACTCATGGATTAATGGGCTAATGTATTAATGGGTTATCATGGGAGTAGACTGGGGGCTTTCCAAGGAGAGGAAGAAAGCATGTGGACATGCTCAGCTCTCTCCCCACGTGATGCCCTGCACCCCCCTGGGACTCCGCAGAGTCCCTACCAAGAAGATCCTCACCAGATGTGCCACCTGGACATTGGACATCCTAGGCTTCAAAACTGTAAGAAATAAATTCTGTTTTTTATAAATTACCCAGTTTCAGGAATTCTGTTAGAAGCGACAGAAAACAAACGAAGACCTGGTATTCAGTCTTTGAAATTTGCTGATACTTCCCTTCCAACCAAGTATGTGATTTTTTTTTTTTTAATGTCTCATTTGCAGTTTTTCATATGCACTTTCCTATTTTCTGAGTTCAAACTCAATGGGCATTTACCATGCTTTAATGTCACTTAGACATCTTTGTGCCTTCCTATATTTATGGAATTCCCCAGGTGGAGGCCAAAATTCAATTTCCAAATATTCCTTGCAGCTGAGGATTTTTTCTTTTAAAATTTCAGAAACTGCTAATTTGTTGCTTTCGTATCTATTTTTTTCTTATTTCACTTCCTTCTTTTATGGTTTTACTTTTCTTTTTGCTCTTTTTAAAATAGAAGTTATTCCTTCATTTTTCTTTTTGAACATCTTAATACTATTTATTTTAAAGTCTTTTTCATATTTTCCCATAAAACTAATTTCATCTGGGGTGAGATAATGTTGTCTGCTGATTTCATTGGCTGTATTTTTAGAAATCTAATATTTCTTTATGTACTTTGGAACTCAGCTTAGAGTTTCAGTTTTAAAGGGAAGGAGTCATTTGTAATTATTTCTTTCTCACCCTTCTTGCTCAGCCTACCCTGTCTAATGGTTTCACAGTTGCCTTCACCTGGCCCCTAGGGTCATCATTTGGGAATCCTGTCCTTGTCACTGTGTTTCTGAGGCTCCTGTTTTGTGGGAAGATCAGAAAGAGTGTGGCTCAGGCCCCAACCCAACGTCTGACTTGCTCCAGACTCCAGGCCTGAAGTTTGCTAAAAAAGCTATGACCCTAGGTGGAGGTTGGCAGTAATCATTTTTGCTCTTTTTTAATGAACTGAGAAGACTTATACAGCCATGACATTAAATAATGAGTATGATTTTAGTCCCCCATCTCATTTGGAGTACTTCTAGACCCTTTTTCCCAAAGCTTCAAGAACTATTTATCCACAGGAGTTGAAGCTGCATCTGCTTTGGCCTCTTCCAGACCAAATCCTAGTGGCCTGTGTTCTTCAGCTACAGTCATGGCTTTGAAGTTTTGTCACATTTCTGGTCCATGGAGATTGCTTGTCTTGTTTAAGGTCCAGCTATGTCTCTTTGCTTTTCCATTTTATTATGTTTTCTATTACTGACATGTGCTTGGGGTGGAGCAAGTACACCAAAGCATGAACTCCATGCACTACCATGGCTGGAACTTGGGACACCTTGCTAGCTCATGAGAGAAACCCTCATGCTGGGGAATTCTCGCTAAGTAAAGGAAAGGAAGGCATGTTAGCTGGGAAGTTGTGGTGGAGTGTTGTTTCAGGCTGAATAAGGATCCTCAGCAATGCTCACATCCTAATCTCAGGAATCTTTGAATGTTTCATCTTGTGTGGCAGAAAGGACCTTGCAGACATAATTAAGTTAAGGATTTTGAGATAGGGAGGTTATTCTGAATTATGTGGGTGATCCCAATGTAATCACAAGGGTCTTTATAACAGAGAAAGCAGGAAGGTCCCTGTTAGAAAAAAAAGGTGTGAGGATGGAAACAGAGGTCTGAGTGATGCAAAGAAGAGACCATGAGCCAAGCAATGTGGACGGCCAAGAGCTGGAAGAAAATGGATTCTCCCCTGAAGCCTCCAGAAAGAAACAGCACTTCCAAAACCTTGACTTTAACACAGGGAAACAGATTTTGGACTTCTGAATTCTAAAACACTAAGATGATAGATCCTGGTTGTTTCAAGCTACCAAGTCCACGGTCATTTGTTACAGCAGTAGTAAGGAACTAACACAAGTAAGGTACAAAGCCTCAATTAGACAAGAGAAATGTTTTTTTTTTTTACACTGAGATATATTGCACAGTGTAGCGAATATAGTAAATAATGTGTTGTACATTTCAAAACTGCTAAGAGTAAATTTCAAATATTCTCATCACAAAAAATAAGTATTTGAGGTGATGGGTATGTTAATTAGCTTGATTTAATTATTCCACATTAGATTCATAAATCACAATACTTTGTACCCCATAAATATATAAGACTATAATTTGTCAATTTACAATTAAAAATTTAAAAAAGGGAACTAATAGGAGTACAGAGAGCTGATCCCTGCATACAATCTTGCAAAGATAGCAATTTACCTTCCCTATGCATATTAATAATTGATTGTGGCTGTATTTCATGCAGCCATGCGTCTGAGAACCTGGAAGATGTCCAGAATTAAGAAATGTGTCCATATGGTACATGATAATTAGCAAGTTTTAAGTAAAACACAGATTACAATGGCCATTGTGTTTTACTTAAAACTTGCTAATTTGTTTTAATTATACATATTTCATTGAAGTATGAGCAGTGATAATAGAAACTCATGAATTTCTTAGATCATGAGTCAATGTTTCTATTTTTGAAATATTTAGAAAAATTGAAGGGGGCAGAGAAAAGAGTAAAATAAAAAGGATCAGAAGTATTTCAATAAAACTATGACTAATTTATTTATTTTTATTTTTATTTTTTTCAAAAGATGACCGGTAAGGGGATCTTAACCCTTGACTTGGTGTTAGCACCACGCTCACCCAAGTGAGCCACAGACGGGCCCTAAAATATGACTAATTTAAAAATAGAATAAAGTGATAGATTCTAAAGTTCTGAATGAATTTTGAATAAATACGAAAGTGGCTATAAAGAATACATTATAAATTTGTAAATTTCTTTTTTAGTTTACTGTAAAATTAAAACATATAAACATTAGAAAAGAAGTAGTATTAATACATCCACAAAGGAGTATATAATATAGTGAAACTTATGAGTTTTGCCACTATGAAGTTATGCCTATTTAAATTCCCTCAAGGGCATGGGAAAGTACTTCATAATTTCCCTATATAAAGTCTGATTCATTTTTAATTTATTGAATGCTATGCTAATTGCTAGGATGTAGCAAGAAATATCAAATCAACCCTGCCTCCATAGAAACCACCTTCTCATAGACAAGTCAGATAGAAAACAACAGCCATGTTAGACAAGACCTCCATGCTAACCCCTGGAGTTGGGCAATGGAGTTGCTCTTGAATTACAGATGTGCACGGGAGACCATGGTAATACAAAGAAAAGGGTGGGGAAAAAAATTGCCAGGCAAGGGCCTTTGAACTAAGTCCTAAAGACTTAAGAGGGAATTATAAAGTGTAGAAAAAAGGGGGGGTTCAACACTTCCAAAGCCACTGAAGTGCATGGTAGTATATTTTCTCCAGGTAGAGAATATGAAATCATACCTTCCCTTCTTTGATCTTGGTTCCAATAATTTGTCGTCTTTGCTGAATGATCTCAATGAGAAGATCACACTCCTCTGTCAATTTGGCTTCTTGACGTGATGCATTGACCTAAAGAATTAATAAAATGGAGGGTGTTAATTTGGCCTTTGTTTTCAGTTAAGTGCTATTTTTAATGTACATTAGTATGTTTCTAGTAATCTCTGAAAAGATATTTTAAATGTTAACTCTTCTTCCAATTATGCAAGAATGGCAAATACAAACCTTACATGCCCATTCCCTAGCTTACATCCTTGGAAAACATTGTTATCCAATTATAGCAGTCTTTTCTGCTAAGCCAGACTCAGCCTCATAATCTTTCTTAAAACAACATGTACATAGCCATTACCAAATAGTTGAAAATTGCCATGTGAAGTGAAATATATTTGCAATTCCTGCTTTTATATTTTGAAAAAAAAAAGTATTAAATTTGTCTTGTTAAACACAAAAAGTAAGTTAAAAAAAACCCAACTAATCTTATTCTTTTATGTACGACAGATTACTATTAATGTCTTTTAGACAAATTTTCCAAAAGCCAATTTATATCACATTTATTTAACATTTCTTTTAAATACAGACATCAGTTTTGTATTTAATCACTATAAAACATCAAGAAAAACACAAAGAGATGGTTTGATATTTTATTAGTCTTATGACATAATTTACAATTTTATTCCTGCTATATTTCTGAAAGACAAAGGTCCAACAATAAAAGCACACCATTCTTGTGGAAAGGTGGATCATTACACAATGGCATGTATTTGAAGTTTTTGAGACTCATTGCATGCAAGGGAGGATTAAAATTAGCTCATTCTTGGCAACTGGGGTTGGGAAATACTCTGCATACGCTATTTCCTTCACCTCATGACAATTCTGAAATGCTTATTCACAAACAAACCCAGTAATCACAGCTGTGGGAGATGGAGATAGCACGCATGAGTTTTATTATTTTAACACAGCCGCAGGAGAAGTTGCAATGTTACAAAGAATGACAATGGCACTGATTATTCTAGCATATCTCAGGGAGGACATGGCCCAGGCATTAGCCCTTTTCATTTGGCAGACTTGAACTGGAGTAATTTCATTCTCTATGAATGAGATAAAGTGGAAGTAGGGTCATGAGTTCAGGATAAAAATTCACTGATGGTTGCTCAGAGACACCATGTCCTGTTTCCAGAGGCACAAGATTCCTTGAATTTTATTCCTGATCGTTATGAGACAGAGACTGCTCAAGACATCTTATTGAGAAGATGATGGTCATTGGCCATTTTCAGGAAACCATGAGACCATGCCGTACATCAGATTAGCACACAGAGGTATTTGCTAATTAGCTGCTTAATGAACAAAGAAAAAAACTAAAAATGCATTGATTAAGAAATACAGACTATGGAACTCAGCCTAATATTTCAAGGAATACAACCACTGGGCTCAATTTGTCTTACCATTACTTTTATGTCATCATTTCTAGTTCCCCTTGATACATTTAGCTGTCTATTGAAATATTTACTTGAAACTTACTCTCAATAAATTTCTTGTCTTCCCTTTTCACTTCAGACTAAATGTAATAACTGACCACAACTCAGCTGTGAAAAGGATGGTACCATATTAATAACACGAGTACATTATAAAGAAGATGGTGAAAGTTCTGGAAAGTAGCACTTATAAAGATTCTCTGTTTGATCAAACTTTAGTCAGGCTACCAAACCTACCCTAGGGCCATCTGTGCACTTCCTTGTAAAATCCAGTGTTAGCAAGAACCCTGCTAGGTTGGTTTAGCTAGAATCTTCCATCCTCCCTATCTGCTTACCCTCATTATCTGATCGGGTTTCTCATCCTCCACCATCCCCAGGGATGTTTGATCATCCTGGCCTGCCTTCAGCAAGAATACTTGTTAGGTTGGTTTAGCCAGAATCCCCCTTACCCCTGGTGTTTCCTCTTAGTAATTTTCCATCCACTGCTCCCACCCTGCTCCTTGACTATAAATCCCCACTTGTCCATGCTGTATTGGGAGTTGAGCCCAGTTCTATACGGAGATCTCTTTCCCCCTATTACAATAGTCCTGAATAAAATCGATTTTTACAGCTTTAACTACTGTCCAGGTCTGGTTTTTCTTTGACAGTACCCTAGACTTGGAAAGTATCTACTATAATGAACCCTAAGAGCTAAGTTGTACTTGAGAATGCAATCAAGATAAGTCTGATGGGACGTAAGCTCCATAAGGGCGGGAGTCTTCAGTTGTTTTAAATGAGGTACCTACCCCAAGCACCTGGCACCATGTTTGGCACAGAATAGGCATTCATAAATTGTTTATTGAATGAATAGATAGTGAAAATGACAGGACAAAATGTGATAAAAACAAGTAGTTATCACTGGCAATCACTCCATATGCAGGTAATAAATGTATTGGTTTTCTAGGACTGTGTAGACACAAAATTATGTTCAAAGGATTATTTTATTTGGAGCAATGGGGAGGAAAGACGTTGATTTTTTTAAATAGCCTTGTTGGAATATATTTCACATATCATAAAATTCACCCATTTAAAATGTAGGTTTGTAGTTTTTAGTATTTGTGGATGATTTTGTGTACAATCTTTATCACAATGTAATTTTAGAACATTTTCAACATCCCAAAAAGAAACCCATTTGCAGTCACTCCACATTCTCAGTACCTGGCCCTGCTCCAGACCTCGGCCACCACTAATTTATTTTCTCTCTCTTTATGGATCTGCCTGTTCTGGACAGTTTATATAAATGAAATCAAACAATACGTGATCCTTTGTGACTGGCTTCTTTCACTTAGCGTAACGTTTTCAAGCTTTATCCATGTCATAGCATGGATCAGTACTTTTCCTTTTTATGCCAAATAATATTCCGTTCTACGGATACACCACTTTTTGATTGTTTATTCTTTAGTAGATGGACATTTGTGTTCTTTCTATTTTTGGGTTACTATAAATAATATTGCCATAAACATTCATGTACACGTTTTTGCACACATATATGTATTCATTTTTCTTTGATGTAGGAGTGGAATTGCTGGGTCACATGTCAACACTATCTTTAATTTTTTGAAGAACTGCCAGACTATTGTTCAAAGTGACTGCATCATTTTATATTCCCACCAGAAATACAGGAGGGCTTTAATTTCTTCACATTCTTGTCAGTGCTTGTTGTTTGTCTGTCTTTTTTTATTTTCTTCATTGTAGTGGGTGTGAAGTTGTATCTCATTGTGGTTTTGATTTGCATTTCCCTGATGGCTAATCATGTTGACTGCATTTTCAGGTATTTATTGGCCATTTGTGTAACTACTTTGGAGATATGACTATTCAGATCCTTTCCTCATTTGGTAATTGGGCCATTTGTCTTCTAATTATTGAATTGCATAATTATTTATAGATTCTGGATACAAGTCCCTTATCAGATATGTGATTTACAAATATTTCCTCCTGTTCTGTGGGTTGTCTTTTCATTTTCTTGATAATGCCCTTTGAAGCACAAAAGGTTTAAAAAAATGTGAAGTCCTCAGGTTTTGATGTTGCTACTAACATATTTCATGTTTAAAGTTCTTCTGGTTTTGACTAAACCCAATGTAACTCCACTGGTAATTCTAGAGTAGGTGCCATGAAATGTGGTGCGGAAGACCAGCTCTGCCCACAAGGTGATATTGGGAAAGTCTTAGACGGTCTCCATTTTTAAGTTTTCCTATTTTGCAAAATGAGGTAAATAATATCTGCTCTCTCAGCCATGTAGGATTGTTGTGATAAATACATAAAATAATATATAAGGATACACCTAAACTTATGAAGCCATTGACAAATCTGAGGTACTATTGTCTGCATTGAAAAGTGGTCTTATTAACCGACTATAGTTTAAGATCCATTTCACTCTCAAAATCATCGGGATTTGAGTTACTCTATGGTAGAAAAAGCGTTACAGTTGTCATTGTAACATGGAGTTCAATTTAATCCAAATTCTGACTATTTGATTCTTAGGATGGATACTTCTGCTTTACCAAAAAAGTTAACTGAAACCTACTTAGCTGAGCCAAATATGTTTTGAGAAAGCTGATACCACCATCACCATTACACCAAAATGTAAATTCCCAGAAATTCAGGAATATGGTCTGTTAATTTTAGGCCAAGTATTTCTCCTAAATCTCTCAAAAAATACAGACTTGACTTTCCTTTGAGAATCTCTGTTTCTACTTTGATGAAGTTCCAAATTTTTGTAAATCTAGCATTCTTATAGTCCAAAAGGTACAATAAAATAAGTTGAATGCTACCTTATATTTGTAAAATTATTCCACTACAAAGAAGTTTTCCACAGTTTCGCTATTTCATATGTCACTTTATAAAAGAATTAAAGATTTGATTGGACTTCATTTCTTGTATGAGCTATTAATTCAAGTATGGCAGGGTTTATTGGTTACTTACAGTATGTTCAGGTGTTTCTAGTTCTCAGGTTTGGTTTGGAAGCTAGCAGCTCCTGGTTATGATTTCAGCTTTCATTTCTGATTCACATCTTTTTTTTTTCGTTTTTTTTTTTTGTCTTTTTTCGTGACCGGCAACGGATCGCAACCCTCAGTGTCGTGCCCGTACCGGACCGGACTGGCAACAGGATCGCAACCCTCGGTGTTGCGCCCACACCTCACTCAGCCAGTGAGCGGCCGGTCTGTATGTGGGATCCGAACCCTCCGCAGGAGCGCCACTGCGCTCCCAAGCGGCGTACTGTAGCAGTGCGCCACCGGGCCGGCCCTGATTCACATCTTTTGATTCAAAAATGATTGTGGCTGATGGAAGTGCTTTTAGTAAGATTAATCTAAGGATGAAGAAAACAGGCCCCAAACTTTCTTTGCTGAACCTACACTTCCACTTTTGTGTCGTCAGTCTCCTCCTTGGTCTCTTAGCTAAAGGCAAGAGTGGGAGGGAAATAATTAGGAATGATGCCCCGTGGCAGGTGACTACTGTATTGCACCTTTGGACAGCATTTTTTGGAAATGGGGCACTTATCCTTCAGAACCATTGACTTCTCAGGACAAAATACAGCTTAAAATTAGGCCCTCCTCCCATGCC